ATGTGGGTTAAAAAGGAAACGAACAAGACACACAGAATACACTGCTGATTCTCTGCAATGGACTTTACAACAAGCCATGTGACATCCTGTTTTCATTACTGTAGAAAAGGCTAGCCTCCAGCACTTTACGAATATGTTTGCATCTTAAGGGTATGAGACATATTTCCATCACATTTTCTGATTTCTCTTATAATACTCAAACATCCATGAAATTTAATAAAATTTATTTTATAATTAAGCAAAAACTAGATAGTATGGAGCAGGATTTTTTGTTTATAATGGACTGACACTTAGAAAGAGGTTAAAGGCTCTCTTACTCTCAAGCCACAGTACAGTCTACCTCAGCACAGTTGCATTTCCAATATCCCCACCAAAAGCTTTTGTGTATATTGGGAAGGTTAATTTTAAGAAGATGAAATCTACCATATTCTTTCTCCCAACTGTGACCACAGCCTTCCTCAGGTGAAGGCTTGCATACTAAACACATCATCTCTGTGCTGTGCTGGTCTCAGAACTCATTGCTTTTTCTGCTGACTCCAGTAGAACACTGGCTGGCTAATTCTGATTTTCACAGTCTGTCTGCATTTCAGCTTGCTTCCCTCATCAGGGACCTGTCCCTGGGAACGATACAGAAGGATAATTGGCTAATCAATATGGAGAGCAGCACCCTGAGGGGAGACTGGGGAGTTGTGGGGCCTCAGTGCAGACCGCTCAGCACCTTTCTCCTCTTCCCTCATGACCATACCAGCCTCTGCTTCACATATGATCAGGTCCTGAGAGCACTGGGGACCTTATACATCACTCTGTTTGGAAAAAAACACACCCCAGAAAATCTTACAATTAGAAAGATGCTTCTGTGGGGAGGGATTCACACAGCGTGGTCTTTGAGATTGAGTTACTGAAGAGTGAGATCACTCCAGTAAAGGTGGTCTCCTAGATGAGACCTCATAGCTTCGTAGTGAGGACTGTGAGAATAGGGTCCCAAGTAAGAATCTGCAGGTCTGGACTGCCAGTGGAGGTTGCATTGCTCTAACAAAAGCAGCCCCTCTCACTCTGCCTCCATACCATGTGTTTTTATTCTGTCTGGCCTTGAGCAAATGTCTAACATATTAGAGATAGCTCTTAACATTGACATTCACAACAACTCACTCCTCCAAATGAGCTTGCAAGGATACCATACCCATGGCTGCTAACTGATGTGGAATATGGAAGGCCAGGCACCCTAACAGGAGGCGCACCTGCTTTGATTCACCCAATGATTGTGGGGACAGGCTTGTAGTGCTCAGTGTTTAGGGTAGTCCTGAGATTCCAGGAGGATAGTCGTTTTGTCTTGTTCAGTCTAGACTATGTACTGCCTAGTTCTTCCTCAAGAGTTTGCCTTCCTGTCTATGGGCAGAGGAAACATGGGCTCAAAAGGACAAACATAAATATGTATATAGAATATATGTGTATATCCGCATATAATATTTTAAAAGGCTACTCTTTTGGTGGATGCAATATGAAAATAAACTATACCTCATATGCATTATCTATGCAGTGAATTTGTATTTCTCATTATAGGGATCCTGTAAGACCTTAATCATAGTATGTGCCAACTCTGCTAATAAAGACTCTATGGAAACAGAGTAGTAACTCACCTTTAGGATAGGTAATTGTTATCTAATAAACGTGGAATGGATAGATAATTGTTATTTAATAAGCATGGAATTGGGTAGTTACTGTGCATTTTCTACTATGTATTCTGAAAATAAAACTCTATACAAGAGACTAGACTGTGATGCGTCCAATTTCTAAAAAAATATATATATATATAATTTTTGTAAATACATGTACTCAAAGGAAACTCAGTGTCAGGGCCATCTGACTTATGTATAAACTGCAATGCTCAAAGATCCTTGAAATGAAATACTAAATTCTCATGTTATGAGTGCTTATTCTACAGTTAGTAGGCTTCTTTCATAATTGATGATTTGTATAAATGTGTTGTATCCGAAACAAAAAAAAAATCCCCACATTTCAGGTTATAGTCAAGGGAAAACAGTTCCTGGGTGGACATAGTGGCACCCTATTAGCACAGATGATGCTTCATGCCTGGTCCTCAGGCAGGTGCCAGTTCAAGTTTTCTCCATGTGCTCATATCACTGCCCCAGCTTCCTCACACTGAACATCATCTGCTGTGCTCTGGCATTTGTCCAAATTGTGGATTAAGCGTGGGCTGCTTATGTTCTCCTCGTGAGGCTCTCTGTCTTCCTGGCTTCGCATTTGAGATCCTGCCTATGTGGCAGGAATGAGACACAGCCAGCCTTAGAGGAGTCTGCTGGAGGCTTAACCTGAGATCTGGTGATACCATCAACAAGGGACATAGAGACAAATACCTTAGGACAGTGACTAACAGGAAAACATGATGGCTTTTGCATACTACAGGAATCTTGCATCTCTGTACTTTGTATATGTACGGCAGGCTACCCTGGGAAAAATTTGCATTTACTGCTAGAAGTTTGGGCACTGATTTCTACAGTACGGTAAAACAAAACAAAACCAAAAAAGAAGGAGAAAGGGGTATGCATAGTGAGGGTGTGAAAATAGGAGTCTGATGGATTTCTGCCTCTCAAAGCCTTTTTTTTTTTTTTAACATTGTAAGTACCACTCAGAATCTGATCATGAAGAATAGCTGTTCTGTCATCAAAGCTCTGGTGTCCCTTTGATGGAGATTCCCAATCCTGGAAGGTTGTGAAATAACCTAGAGGGTAAAGCACTGGGACATCATCACTGCATGATGCTAGTTAAACAGTGTTGGAACACAAGTTTACAAGCTAGTCAATGGATGCTTCTTCCCACCTCAGAAGCTTCTGACAGATTTTCCAGGAGGCTTATAGGGCAGTTCACTGATGGTCAAAGATTTGGGAAATCAAACGAGCCTTTGGTGTCCCCTCCAGTACACCCACAACAATCAGGACCATGGGGAATGGTCCTCCACAAAAGCAACTCCTGGGTCTGGGAAGCACAGGATTGAGTGCTTGAGAGGGGCAAAGGGCCTCACTTTCAAGGAAGGACACGGGCAAGGGCATACTTGCCTGACTGGGATAGCACAGTCTCATAGCAGATCATGTGTTGAGTTCAGTACCTTCAGTAATTCAGTGGGTCACCTGACAGATGATTGCTTATCTGAAGAGCAGAGGTAGTTGAGTTCTGCTCCTCAGTGGCTGACTCCTCAGTGGATATCTGGGATTGTGCTTCTCCCTTCTAAGGGGTTTCTGCTTCCACACATGGTGCTACTCAGCATGGGCTAGGTGCCAGGCAAGGTATGGTTGATATTTAAAAATCTGGACGCTATGGAGTTATTATGAGATTGCTTGTTTGGTGATTCTGTCCTTTGTCCAGTTGCTTGAGTCAGTACAGCTAAAATCTCTTAGTTTTGATTTGCTGTTGATCTCACTGTGCAGCCAGGATCTAGGTACTAAAATCAGAACAACTCAAGCCTGTGTAGTCACATTGTTATGTATCTCAATAAGACTTCTGAGTACCTTTTAAAACATGTCACTTTGTATATTCAAAAGGTGTATTATCTATTATTACCCCAAATAAACAAAACTGAAATATTTAAGTTTAGAAAGTGGAGCAGATTCTAAATTTAGACAAGACTCTTTGTGCATACCAAATGCTCATAACCCTGAACATTAATATCTCCTGCTTCCCAAACATGATGAGAATATGCAAGAGAGTATTTCATATGATTGCAATGATGCTACACAGCCAAGATACAAATCACTCATCAGCACTGACAACTAAAGATATCATTTAGAATTGCACACAGCTGACACTGTGTCCCTAAATATTTGCTTAGCTGGTCTCCTCTCTAGCGTTCCACACATTTCATTACATAGGGCTACGATAAGTTCTCAGCAGATCATTAGTGACATCAGCACACTTGTCTACAGCACACTGGGTAGCATTTGCAGGAATTACTGGCACAAGCTATGATGTAACTTGTTAAGCTTCTACTCACGGTGTTCTGTAATACCATGTGAAAGAACTGAGAGCAAATGTGAATTAGCAAATTGTTATCAATAATAACTTTAAGGCTCTGTAACAATGTGGGACTGCCCAATAAAGTTCATGCTTCCTAACAAAATGGCCACGGCTTTGCAACAAGGCACGTTCATTTATACCTGCACATAACAGTATTGACATCTGACTCACTTGCATGGTCATTTGGTGTATTCGCTCTAAAGGGTAAGATAATGGGTTTGTATTTGGAAGTTAGCTGTTTTGGAATTTGTATTCTTGAAAATATTTAAGCCCAAGGGACAAGGGTGAGAAAGAAGTATTCTCATTTTTCCATCATTTTTTTTTTTGGCATTTCTATGAGGAAAACCCTAAGCCAATATAAATGAATCCTCTGATGTGCCCTATGGAAACAGCCCATGTACTGCAAGGACAGAAAGTTTGTACCTTGTTTGTACAATTCACAGTATTCTACCTCAGACCAGAAATCTGATTCTCAAATATAGAAACATACAACCATCTACCAACCATTTCTTTTAAGTAACATCTCTTTTTATCCCTGCCATATAACAGTCACCAAAGTATGCCTTCGACAATCAACAGACAGAATCTCTCTCTCCAGCTCACATATTAGAGGCCTGGAGGCTAATGCTGTGCCAACAGTCATGCTTGAGTCAGTCACAGTGCCTGTCGGACAGAACAACTGAAATATCAGACATGCTCTATTAGTGTTCTTTCTACATATTCCCATCAATAGTTCAGCAAATTGCCATGACAACAAAGCTAAATAATTTGATAAAAATCTAAAGCCCAGAAGATAACTTAAAGGAATTATTTGAGATAAACTCTTAAGTTAACATAAGCAGTTATCCATTTAGTGTTGAGCAAACCTAATCCTGGAATTGTTAGGATGCCAAGGATATTAATACTAGAAAATTCATGCAAGAAACTGACCCCGAAGCATGGCCTAAGCTTTGTGAGTATTTAAAGATTACCATTTTCTTCTTCCTCTTCCTCTTCTTCCTCCTCTTCATCATCATCCTCTTCTTCCTCTTCTACATCATCTCCATCTTCATCATCATCATCATCTTCATCATCTTCCTCCTCGATCTCCTCCTCATCTTCCCGATCCACCTCATCTTCATCATCATCATCCCCTTGCTCATCATTGTCTTCAGAGAAATCATCATCATCATCTTCCTCCTTATCATCCATGTCTTCAGTACCGTCACTTTCATAACATTCGTCTACTGAGGAACTATCTGCCTTTACTGCAAATGGTTTTCGCTTGGGAGCAGGTTCTTGGGGCTGTTTGTCTTGCGTTTTTCTTTTTTTAGCCAAGGGACAACCATATACACTGATAAAAAAAAAATAGAAGAAAAGGACAGAGAAAAATATTTATGTTACTGCCTGAATATCAGAGCAATGGGATGCCTTGCAGATATTTGTGATTGAGTATGAACATCACCATGCAAATGCAGAGGGGCAGGGCACTACTGTTCTCTCACACATAGTTCTGCTAATGACAATGTCATGACAATGAAGTACAGCTTGTGTCTGTCTGCTTGCCATTAGCATGTAACAGAGTCCTCTGGCTCATCGTTACTATGAGTCCAGATAGCATGGAGGCCCTCGTTCAGGAAGATGGCTATGAAACCCTTCCTCCATATGCATCTCAGGCAGCTCAATGTCTGGATTCAATCTACTATATAATACTAGATATTTAAATGTAAAGGCTGGCTACTGTCAGTCTTGGATAATGTCAGTTCCATCCCAGCTCCCAGAGAAGGACTCTGGGATTAGTGGCGGTTGCCCTTAAATTAAGATGAACTTGGGCCAGACCCTCTATCCAAGCTGAGTTTATAGTCTTTCCCTGAGAAAGGATTATTTTTCCAAACTATGTTGCCTATTTAGTGTATGTGCTTTAAGGAATAAGGAGCAGATAGGTGTCCAACATGCTATGAGAAATGACGCGTGTGTCTAGAGTGCCATGACCTTCCCTTCCAACTGGCCAGTGCAATAGGAGATTCCTTCAGACTTGCGTTGCCTCAGTTTGGAACCTAGGATTGGTTATATGATCACAGATCTTGGTCAGCCATTGCCATCTTATGGATCCTGTGCTACTCAACAAATGTTGATCCAAAGGGACAGGTCCTTGCTCCAGGGCTATAGGTTCAGTCAAACTTTGACATGTCAGTAGTATCATTTCTAATTCCTCACTGTCCTATACTACACACTGTAACATCATGGCACTGAAACAATTCAGACTGAATGAAGAAATTAAGAGTGCAAATCCTTTCATACAATATGTGGAGGGTATCATAACCAAGGGGCAGATGATCACAAGCATGGAAGACATGATGCTGGGAAGAACTCTGAAGGGTAGTAGAGTGCCATTTGGCAGAGAAAAAGACACCTAAATACATATCACAATCATATGCAAAGAATATGAATAGTAGAGAAAGCTCAGTATAGTTCAGAAAACTGAAACAGGAGCCCTAGAGAGCTGAGAGTAATTAAGGCAAGAGAAGAAAATAATGGGGTTTGTGTGATGTCTCAGGCAGGGGGAGATCCAGTCAGACTGTTTGAGCTTTTGCATGCAGTTACTGATGCCATCAGATTTGTGTGTTGGAAAGGCAGTGACAAAGCTGCCAGCATGATGAACTGAGGTGAGTGAGGTTGGAGATGGCCGCTAAAGGGATGCCTGTGTGACATCTAGGCAGTGGCATGGGCTAGGCCCCGAGGCAGGCAGCCTGCTGGCAGACTCCAGAGATACTGCACACCAGAGGTTGAGGGAGCCTTCCTTGCACTCTGAGACCCCATGGTAGTAACAGGTACCACTCCCAATGAAAAGATGTGAAGATGGATACTGGAGTCATGCTTCAGGGCAGGGGATGCAGTGCTGGATCATGGTGAATAGAGCTTGCTTTCCTGTGGGCAGGGCTTTTCGGTTGAGTGATTTTGGACAGATGTTCAACTTTGTACCTCAGAATTACCATTTGAAACTGAAAAAACTGTGTTCTTCTCACACTGGTACCTTAATCATGAAATGCCAACAATAAACATGAGTTGGGCTTAGTGCCTGGCCCAGACTAGGTCCTCAGTCTGTGACAGTGTTTGCTTCAGAATGATAATGCAATGACCCGCTGCTCTCCGCACGTGGTTGTATCTTGACAGCTGTGTCTCCTAATGGTCAGAAGTTCCTCTATGGTTGAGCAGCCTTGGAGCACTAGCTGTGTCTCCTAATGGTCAGAAGTTCCTCTATGGTTGAGCAGCCTTGGAACACTATCAGTTTCTGCCTGATCTATCAGAAAGTATGGTATTGAGGTCTTTCCTAGTTGCCTTTTATGCATACCAGTGAAGGCTCTACTGCCTCAAAAGACCCAGAGCTTTTTCTTAAATGTATTTGTTTTTACATATGTGTGGGCTTTGCAAGAGGATCATGGGAAGAAACAGCCTAAAAGAGAGATCGGTCTGGTTCACTATCCCTTGAAAGGGAAAGGGGCCATCAGACCTCCATAAATGTGATTATCGCAAATATTTCTAAAGGTCTCTTGGAAAGGTAACAAATCCAGGCTCTCTCATCAGCCCCCTCCAAGCTGTCTGGAGGGTACTACTCTGCTTCTTTTTGCCAAATAAACTGATTAAGCTATCCACATTTCCTGACTGAATTCTTTCCTTTCAGGTGACAAGAACTGAGGATAACTTGACATTAGTAACAGGACCCTTGTGCATGGGTCTAAGGGCTAAGGAATGAGCATGTCATAGGCATTGTGTTTGTCCCCATGGGCTCTATGGCAGGACAGGAATTCACACACCTACATTATTAGGGGATACAAGACCTTCACACTCCTAATGTTTGAGGTCATTTAAACTAACAAGGATGACCACTCTCCTTGTTGGAACATACTAGGTATAAGCTGTCATCAACTGCATTTTGGAAAATATGGGTTCAGTGTGATGACAGTCGAATTCACTGGCATCAAACACATTTCCTGCCAGTTCATTTTGTTTGTTGCTCTGCTGTTACTCTATGTCATGTATGTACACTGAGAATAGTCTCACCTAAGTTATATGCAAAGTCTCTGACCTCTCTCATTGACTGCTAATGGTGTCCACTTTTAAAGGGACAACAGAGTCTGAGTCCAGAGACGTTTCAGCATATTTTAGAGGCTGACTCAGGAGCCTGTTCAGGTACACAGAAACTCTGGGTCTGCATTTGGGGTGTGGATCCTGCCAAACTCATATTCTGTGGGTCTGGCATCGACTTATGGGTGGCAGCCTGGCAGAAGGAGGAGAGAGGCTTCACCCTCACATATGCACCTGGAGTGCTGTGTATTACCACAGCTGGGCTCCTGTCCATCATTCATGCCTTTCTGAATAACAACATAATCACAGTTCTGGGATGTCCTCACATGAGAAAACCAAGTAGAATTAGAATTAGTGGCAGATTGCTTGAAGCAATCAAATCCATCCAATTGAGGGCTACAGTTAGTATCTTTGGCTTCTCTCTCCTCATGTTTCACATGCAGAGAGTCTCCAAGGGCAATTATTATTTAGAAAACAGTTCGGCAACTTTAATGCATATGGCATAGCCTCACAAGGTTCATGCCTTCCCTGAGTGACCAGTTAAAACTGTCTGGCAGTGCTCAGTGAACATTCACAGGACAATCCACTATGTCCTCACTGGTGAAGGATGAGAGTGTACTATGTCCTAGTGCGGTTACAGATCACAGGCTAACTTTCTTGTTCTCCAGTGAGGTGACAGAAGAACCTGTATTCTGCGGACACTAAGTTTCTAAGCTGCAGCATCTAACACAGTAGCCTCATATCACATGCAGGTATTGAGATAAATATAATTCGAAGTCCAATTTCTGCTTTACTAGCCACATTTTAAATACCCAGGGCTACATGGGGCTAGTAGTTATCATGTGGTCAAGGCAGAGAGGCAATCTCATCATCACACAAAACATGTTCCTGGACAATCATTTGAGAGTGTAGCAGCCTCTCTGGATGGCTCAGTGCATAATAGACAAGGGAAGAAATGGCGGATATCATGAGGATGAGGGTGAGGATAGACTCTGGTGGAGAGGCCTGGAATTTGGAAGGCAGAATCAGATTCTTGAAGCCAAACTTAGAAGGACCCACTAGTCCTGAACAGCACAGGAAAGAGTATCATGCAGGGAAAATACCCATCCTTGAGGGACAGAGCAGTGTTGTGGCTTGGTCTCAGGTGTGTACTGAAGGCTCCTTCATGGTTTCCAAGCACTGCTCATCAGAGGATAAAATGTGGCTTGGAAATTGAATTTATTTTTAGTGCTTGCTCTTCTTGTCCTCCAGTCCCATCAATTCATATAAAATACAAGATGAACACTGTGATCCAACTGCATTTATATTTGTATACATAGTTGAAACATGAAGGAATTAGCAAATAAGTTCACTGCTGACATCACCATAGTCCAATAGGACTACACTGATGGAAACAGTTTTATAATTTTCCCACAGTGTTTCCATTAAGAGGTTCTTAATGCAGGCACCAGACACAATAGTAGTTGTGGCCTCACCTCAAAGAATCAGGATACAGACTTGCCTCAAACTGCCCTCCTACTATTTGTAATATGTCTGTCCAGAGATAGAAGAGAATATTGAAAGTAGATGGAAAGGGGAAAGAATGCTTGATCAGAAACAGGATGTTTGGTCTCTTTCTGTGTCTTTCTGTGTCTTAACCTCTTTTTAGCAACATGAACCCATGGTGAGAACCAAGGATGGTTACCCCACTCTTCTCCACCTCAGTCTCTGGATCCCCAAGTGTGTCTTAACTTTGCAGTACTTATAAACTTTGTCTTTGAGTTGTTTGAATAGTTCTGTGTTCTATAGTGGGCTCTTCTGAAAGATGAGTTACTTGCTGTGGTACACCTTTCATGGACTTCAATAGTAAAACATCAGATTCTGCAAGGCTGGATCCTAGGTTCTTAAAATTATTATTATTATTTTAAATTGTGATTTCCCTATATAGGTACTAAACATGAACAGAATCACTATAACTGAAGATGAGTTTGGCAACCTCTTCTTTGTTCATTGTTTCCGCCAAAATCACTGATAAGAAAGAATGGGGTACAGGCACCTCATGGCTTCTCTAGGAGCTATGTTTAGTAGGTGTTCAGTGGCTATTAAGCTAGCTCAGAGATTTCTAATGGTTCTCTATGGCCACAGGTTACCATTTCCTGTGTGGCTTATAAAATTTTCATTGTGTAATAAGTGACACAATCCTGAAGTACTGAGTTCTAGCTGCAGTTCTGCCTATAATGTCACTGGCAGAACTTTACTTATAGATGATGGTGTTGTTTGCATCTCAGT